ATATATATATATATATATATATATATATATATATATATATATATATAAAGTACATGTATATAGGATGATTGTGTAACTCTGTTGATTTTTGCCCAGTCCCTGTTCAGCTGAGACTTCCTGTGCCCTCATCCCTCCATCATCCCCCAACTTTACAGCTCCAGCCCCTTCCTTTCTGCACCGTGACAACAAGACACCTGAGCACACCGTTCTCCCCCTCCCTCACCTTGTAGCCCCCACAAACCATGTCACCCCAACCCCAAAGGCATGCACATGCACACGCATATGCGCTCACACACATGTTAGACCACCTCCGGGGCCCCTCTTTGGCAGGGCCGATCCCATGGGAGAGGTTAGCATGATGGATGTCTGATTGGTAGCCCTCCCTTAGGGCCTCCCTCTCCGTCACCTCTCTGCGCTCTGAATTAAAAGGCCGTTTGTCTCCTCCGAGTCCTCAGCTGTAGAGAGCCAGTCTGCAATTTCACAGCACTCAGAGAGAGAGAGGGAGACCATTACAGAGGAGGTTGTCAGGGGAGCCATCAGAGCCCGGACACGCCTGAGGGACTCTCGTTCCCCCTCTATCTTTCTGTTCAGCACCAGAAACACCTCTATCTCACTGCAGACAGCCCAGCCTGCACTCACAAATATAGAAATATTCCAAAATAAATAAAAAAAACTCTCCTTTCTGGTGGCATTTTAATAAATTAACACATCTAATTAAATAAAGTAAAACTGTGGAGGAAGAAGAATAAAACATGTCCCTAATTTTTAATTCTGGAACTCTAAAACAATATTAAATTGACTTTAATTTAAAAAACTCACAAGGTTTCTGCTGAAGATTCATGGGTTTAAAGTCATTCTGTTCAGTAGCACAAACAATTAAAAATAATTAAACATCGCCGTATGAACTATAAGTTATTTTTAAAATTTTTATTTGTTTGTTTGCTTTTAATCTAATGGCTTCAAAAGGCTGCAGTTCAAATCAGCAGCAAACATGTACACAATATACAAATTAGGAACAAAAATATGTCAAGAATAAACTACAGAAACTGTGAAACGATGATCACTTCTCTTAAATTCATGTGATAAGAGAAGCTGCTAAAAGTCACTGTTTTCCAGCTGAAGATCCAATTTTTAAATTTAAACCTGCTTTAAAATCCTCTGCAGACGTGTACCTGCAACTTTCCTGCTTCTTCTCAAGTAAATTTATATATTATAAACCACAAAACCTATTTGAAACACAAAATAATACAAGCAAAACTCATTTGTGTTGTAAAAATATTATTATGAAAAAAAACTTCAGTTTGTTACAGTCTTATGTTTTTGCATGTTGGAGCAAACCTGTGTGAAGAGGGGAAATAAAAACATTTAGTTTATACCTCTTCTGATGAAATTTAAGGAAAATTATTAATAGACGTATCCAGCTTAAAAAAAAAAACATTTACAATTTTTATTATAATAAATCATTAGACTGAAAAACAATGGAACCAGATTGTTGGATATTAACTTGTGGTTTATCTTCTCTAATGAATTAATTTATTTAAACTATTTTTAAAAGTCTTTGTATTTTTATTACTTTTAACAACAACATGTAACAAAACTGCCCCCCCAGAAGCTTAACTTGAATGTTTAAGATTTAATTCACATTTAAATATGCAGTGTTTTAGATAAGTATATTAAATAATAATAATAAATGTGACCTGATGCTAACCAGTTTTAAGTGGTTGTAAAATTTTACACACAAATATTCAATAACAATGATGGTTTATACACCAGAATTACAATATCCAACTAGACAAATT